AATTTATAATTTTAATATTCTTTTATTAGCGAATTTTTTACTTTGAACTTATCTTCTCTTAGCCAATCAAAATTTGTACGTCACAAAATGATCTACAAAAACTAGCCAATCATAATGAAAGCCCTCTATGCTGTCTTGATCGACTATCTGCTATATACGTCATACGTGTATCCAGCAATATTTATATATTTATATATCGATATAAACCAGTTTAAAAACTTTGGGTATCAATGACCTCTACTTGCGCACAAGTAGGTTTGTCTTCAGAGCCTTTATGCCCTAAATTCATATTTTGGACGAACCTTATTTTACTGGGCTTCAAACCTTCAGAGCTCGCGAGAGGTGCTTATTCAACAGTCACCTTTGATAAGGATGTATTTACTAAAGGCTCCCCTAATTCGGTAAAAGCAATGGAATTGATTGTATGGTTTTTATTTAAAAAATTGGATGACACGTTGACAACAGCGGTAATTATATTGATATTTAGTATATCGGAACTTTATATATAAATAAGTTTATATAAAATGATAATGTTTTTTATAGAAATTCACATGTTGGCCAATTCTTGATTTACCATCAAGTTTGCGTTTTCGGACAGTAGCGTACAAATGGTTAGATCAATTGAAAAAAGATGGTTGCTTTGGAAATGCAGATATTGTTTTGAGACGTACTTTATTTGACGAGTGTCAAGGCGAAAGGTGAATATAAATGAGAATAGCAAATGGTAGCCTTATCACTGTCAGATACAGTTTTTTAATTTGATCAATTATAATAGATTCGAGCGTTTGATAATGGCCTTTTCAAATTACGTCTTAAAAATAACAATGGACAGAGATTACCAACATTATAATCGAGGTATTTTATTTATAGTAATTAATGTAAAAAGGAGTAAATGTTAACATATATTTATATATTTTAAAGCACCAAAAATTGAATTTACGGAACTTAAAGAATCAACACCGGAATTATTGAAAGAAATTCTAAAGGTAATTCAAAGATAGTATGCATGAGTGAGAAGATTAAATATTATTTATTATCGATGTAATTTTTGATCAATTTTAAAATAGATATATATAAAAACGCAAACAGACAATTTTTTGCAAAAGACTAGAGAACGTGCAACCTGCCAGAGTCGATGGAAGAATTTAGCAGATAAACTTTCAAGACATTTATATGAAGTTATAGATAAAAATGTACTTTATATAAATTTATGATATTTGTAATTTATTTATAATTCAATCAGGCATAATTATTTATATTTATTTATTTATTTTAGAATGAATTAAGAAAACTTGTTCATGAATTTCATAAGGAAAAGCATTTTAATGGGCGTGATAATGTAACCATAGAACAACTTTCTTTCAAGAGAACTAAACAACTTGAAGGTGTCCGTCTTATTTGGAATTCATGTTTAAGTTGGATACAAGAAAACCAAAATTATATTGGTGATGATCACATTTTGTTTTTTTTTCGATGAATTTCAATAAAACTTTAACACCTAGTTTTTACTGTGTAGCAAGTATTGAAGACGTTATCAACGATCGAACAAATAAGTATCGATTTAATGGACAGGATATTTCGTTACAAGTTCCAGAAATTATGATGAATATGTGGGAAAAACAATTCCAAGAAGTATATTTACTTTTCACTCTTAATTTGTTACATCAGTGGTTAAACATATATATATTTATTTTTTTGGTTGTACTCTAAGGCAAGAATTAGTCCTCGACAATGCGGCAAATTAGATTTAATATCTTTATTGAAATTATGGAGGTTTGCACTTCAAACTTTGAATAATAAAACTACCAATCCGAAAACTATACAGCATCAAGATTTAGAAAGTGAAGATCTTTCGTCTACAGTTAAAAAACTAGAAGAACATTTGGTAGAACAAAAGAGACAAATCAAAAGCCTTTCTATGCTCAAGAATTCATTAAGAATGCGCTTAAATGAAATCAATGAATCAGTAAAATTATTAAAAAATGAATAAAAAGAGACAACAGGAATTTTAGATCACTTTATATAATAGAATTCATGTGGCATAGTGTAATTTTAATAAAATTGCCAATGTTACGTTATTTTTAACTGATGATTGAATTTAGAATGCTGTTGTCACAAAAAGTGTGGTATAGACATTAAAGTGTAAGCATGCGTTGTAACCGGGAACGGAATTTAAGTGGATTGGAATTTCTTTAATTGAAATTTACGACTTATCTGTTATCGTAAACAGTGGTATAAATTCTAAATTTGACAAATCACACTTTCGTTCCCACTTACACATACGTATGTACGCACGTACGTACGTACATGAAAATTAACGAATTGGATAATTCCGCAGATATTTTTTCAATTGCGCATAGGATGCTTTCATTTATTTTTGAACTTGCATCATATTCGAAGAGGCATAAACTTTTAATATTAAGTTGCATCAGATCATAATTTATGCAGTTTAAATGTACATAGCAGATAACGAATATAATAGTAAAAACAAACAATATTGTTCTACTGTATATATCTCAAGAATTATTTACTTTCTTTGAATTGTGTTTTGTATTGGGATTAAACAGTGGAGTATTTTCTTTAACATTCTACCGGCATTCCATTTAGCCGACATCACGTCAGGTGAAAATTTACTAAAAATATGTATCTGTAACTAATCAAATGCTAATTCTAACTCTATGTGATGTCGGCTAAATGATCTGTCGGTTAAATAATCGTCGAAGCGATTTATTTTACGGCAAACTTTTGGTAAACACACCGAAAGTAAAAAAAAGCACTGATCAATTACCAAAAATTAATAAAGTCTTTTAATATCCTACGAATACTATTCAATCTATTCGACCAAAAATTTAGATACAGATATGGCATATCGTGTGAATTAGGTGGAGTGAATACTTAAGAAACATTGTGTAAGTATAAAAATAATTGCGGAATATCGAACAGATCTTGATTTCATTTATACTGTGTATTATGTATTGTACGTAATAGTTAATACGTAACAATTAATAGCATATAGATTATGTGTTATGTATTATAAGATCGCTTAAAAAAGCAAATAGATAACGTATCGTAAAAGGTTATGTCTAACCCGTTGTTCAATAAATAAGACCCTGGATATCGTATACAACAATAATACAAAAGTTCTACGTAGCCAAAAACTTACACCACTCTTGTCAAAATTGATTAGTCATAGTTTCAGAATTTGCTGGACCCATACATTTTATTATTGTATTACAAGTATTATGATTATCTGTTAAAAATAGAAGTGCATGCGTGCGTGCGTGCGTACTTACGTACGTAATTTTTGTTTTCGTTATATTTCGTTACTTAATTAAAATAAAATATAAATAGGGTCAACCAAGTCGAAACATCTCTTCATAACAAACTTTTTTTTTTTTCAAACATGGAACTTTTAAATATAGGCAAACATTGCGCCAACCCTAACTGCAAACAATTAGACTATCTCCCCGTTAAGTGTCAATATTGTAAAAAAGATTTTTGTGCTGAACATTCAAAACCTATTGAACATAACTGCAATGAGGCACCTAGCGGAGACGGTGAGCGAGTTCCCATTTGTCCCTTGTGTGATACACCTGTCCCAGTTAAAAGAGGCGAAGATCCTAATGTTAGAGTAAGTTGCAACTTAAATATAGGACACTGCAAATTTCAAAATGTCCCCGAGTTTCTTATATTAATATTGTATCTTTTTTGTTTCAGATGGACCAACATATAGCAAACGGTTGTCGTCCACCAGCCAAAACTACTTCAACAAAGCCATTCAATGCATGTTCTTTTGGCAAATGCAAAGAAAGAGTTGCTGTTCGTCTGCTGTGTTCGGAATGTGGCAAGAATTATTGTATAAAACATCGTTTAGGACCTGATCATATGTGTGATAAAGTGAAAATAGATAATAAAGTAAACAACTTTTCATCCATTATAACATCAAGGAATTCTCCTATCAAGACCTGGGTTGGAAAGATGTTCAAATAGTAAACGAGCGAGAATTAGTACGTACTTAAAACCAATCATTCAGAAACTATATACACTATTAAAGACTTTACAAACATTTATATTTCTCATTTATGAGAATTCATTTCAATAAACAATTTATTCATATTGCATTTTTGTTACAACTTTTTAATATAAACATATAATAAGAATTTATTTAGAATTTACAAGAGATAAATTTACTATAGTGTATTGTATACAATACCGTATTATATAAAAACAAATTATTGTAGTAATTTATACTAAAAATTGGCTTATAATAAAAGTTTAATTTTTATATAACAAATTTTTCTAATATAGTATATATATACAGTATATTAAAAATTATAATAATTCACATTTTAATTATTTTTAATTAGGGGATAAATATTTATATAGTTTTAATAGTAATTTCCCAAAATTATATAGTAAAAAGTTCAAAATTTTAGCTCTTAATAAAGTATATAACAAAAAGAAAGCCAAATACCATATTTTTATGCCTATATAGTTAATTTATATTATATTTCAACTATTAATATTTTATATTATAGGGAAACTGGATTCAAATATTTCGAAATATATTATAATAAATTTGCCCTATTTTTATTATATAAAATTTCCTGTTCTTATATTAATTATTACTAATTACAGTAATAATAATAATTTTAATAATGCTTTATTTATATATAGTAATATTACAGCAATTATAATTATATATACTTTATATACTTTTTTAAAAAATTATATAGTATACTGTAGTATATACTGTATATATTAATAAAATTTTAACTTTTTTAAAAAGCACTATTGCAGATAAAAATCTAATTTTACGATTTTACGTACTGTATAATGTGCAATCGGATAAAGTCGACGTGGTCGACTTAGAAGGTAATCCTAGAACAATGCGAAAAAATGTGAAAATTGTATTCCAGACACATCGCTAGCCTTTGTAATATCTGGATACATCAGTTAACACTTTATGTCAAATAAGCATATAATGGGCGACTTTATAACGATAATCGTGTGACGTTAAACACGGAAGGTATCGGGTTTGAAATTAATTCATGATATATATATAACCGTAAGTATATAACAATTGGTTAAAAAAAAGTTGGCATATCACATCATAAAAACAATGGTTTTTAGAAGCGTTTTTTCAAGAAATTTTCAAAAACGACTTCATGGTTCTTTACAACCGATTACACGTCCTCATGAAACAATCGAACAAAAGCGAGCTAGATTACTTTATCAATCTCGAAAGAGAGGAATTTTGGAAACTGATTTATTACTTTCAACATTTGCTAAAAAGTTTCTTAATGAATTTACCGAATCAGAATTAAAGGAATATGATGAATTATTAAATATGCCAGATTGGGATATTTATGAGTTTGTAACTAATAAAAAACTTGCTCCTGAACGTTGGGTAAAGAGTCCATTGTTTCAAAAATTAAAACAACATGTAAATAATGAAGGAAAAGTAATTTTGAGAATGCCAGATTTGTAATATCGATATTGGTGGTGGTAGAGATGTGATAGGGCACTTTGTGTAATGGATGTCATGTGAATCATGTTCAATCAAATTCATCTGTGTATCCGTGTCACATTCAAACAAATAAATTTCATTTTTTAAATGGTGTTTTCAAACATTCAAATTTATTTTACTCATTACGATGACGATGAACTTGGAGTCCAAATCTATTTCTGAACTGTCAGCGTCGCTTCGTCAGTTAATCGGTGATAAGTTGTCACGCGAAAAGTTAAATGAAATTTTAACTGTAAGTATAAAGGGGTGATTATCGTTTTTTGTCGTATTTTTTTTTTTTTATGAATTCATAAGAAATTGAATTCTTTGTTTATTTCACTCAAGATTCTTCACCAAATGAAAGCTCAAGGGGTAACTGAGACAAATAACCCTGAATGTGCTTCGGCTTTGAATTATTTACGATCCTTGCAACTAGATCTAAATAATCGCTCAAACTTAAAAACACCACGAACTGAAGAACAAATTCGAAGGCTAAAATGTCAGAAATATGCGTTTGCGCTCCTGGCTAATGATTTACCTGTACCAAATCACGTATTCATAGGAATGATGTCTTCTGCACAAGTAGAAAAATTTTTGGCGACGCAAGCTTTGGAACCTTCTTTGAAATTTCCCGCTAAAATACTCATGGATGATTCACAACCCATTTGTATACCTTATATTCCCACACCTGAACAGGTTTCTGGAATACAAAAGTCCGTTTTTGATCGTGAACAAGAAATACGTAATAGAATTAATAAGCGTATAGAAGATCTCGAAAATTTACCTTCAAATTTGGCTAATGATCCTTTTAAAATTGGTCATATTGATGGGGTTAATAATACTACTGTGGGCCCTAAATTAAAGGCAATAATCGAACTTAAATCATTGAAATTATGGGAAAAACAACAAAAGGCATGCTATCTATTTTTTCTTTTTCTTCTCCTCATCAAAATTGTAATATATGGTCATCTACGATCGAACGCTGTGAAAGTGTGTTAAATATGACTACGATTTTCAAAAATGAACGACATTACGTATTACTTTTATTATATTAAATTCATGATTTTAGGACTCAACGTTGCTTCGCGTGCTCCTAAAATCTCCATTATAATTCATAGTTACGACAAGAAATATTACAATTTTCAAACTATCGAAAACCTGAGCCTATCCGATCAATGACTGTATACCGACGGAAAGCTGCGGTACCTGTGCGAGATTGGCCTACAACTGAAAGGGCTGAGAGAGAACGAGTTCAAGCGCGTTTGCGTCGTGTAAGAGATTCTAGACTGGAGTACATCAATGCTATTTGTCTACATGGTCAAGAAATTAGATACGCACATGATATGAAATACGAGAAACGCATTAGAATGGGACGTACAATATTAAACTTTCACTCAAATATTCAAAAACAAGCACTAAAAGAGAAAGAACGAGTTTCTAAAGAACGTATTAATGCACTTAAGAACAATGATGAAGAGGCGTATCTAAAACTTATAGATGAAGAGAAAGATACTCGTATTACACATCTATTGCGTCAAACTGATACATATTTGGAATCTTTAACGCAAGCCGTCGTTGATCAGCAAAATCATCATCGTCGTTTGAATAAAGGTAAAGGTAAATTAGTAGATTCATCTGATCATACGGTATCGGCTAGTAGTATCACAGCTACTGAAGATGAGGATAATATAATTGAAACAACGGTAATATTTTGTCATTTGTTTTGTTAAATTGTTATGGTAAATTGTATGTCAAATTATTTATATTTATGATTTTTATCTTCAATATAAGGATGGTAAAAAGATCGATTATTATGTTGTTGCACATCGAGTTCAAGAGAACGTCGAACAACCAAGTATTCTCATCGGTGGTCTATTAAAAGATTACCAGGTTCAAATCTAACTATTAATTTTCTTTAAAAGATTTTGCGTCATTTTTGTTTTCTAAAGAATTTTTGTTCCATTTTGTAAATATAGGTCAAAGGTCTCCAATGGATGGTTTCTTTATATAACAATCATTTGAATGGCATTTTAGCCGATGAAATGGGTCTAGGAAAAACTATTCAGACTATTTCATTAATCACGTACCTTATTGAAAAGAAAAGACAAAATGGCCCCTTTTTAATTATTGTTCCATTATCGTAAATACATATTTATATTCTTTGTAATCTTTTTTGAATTGTAACTTTATTAATACAAGTTTTTTTTTTATTTAGCACTATGACTAATTGGCAAATGGAATTCGAAAAATGGGCACCTGTAGTCTCAGAAAGACTATGTATATACAAAGGCACACCTACTGAGCGAAAGGCCTTACAAAGAAAATATTTACGTTGCCTGGATTTTTCTGTCTTCTTAACGACTTATGAATATATTATAAAAGATAAAACAGTTTTGAGCAAACCACGATGGCTTTATTGTATTATAGATGAAGGTCACCGTATGAAGAATGTCAATTCGAGGCTCTCATTAGTTTTAAGTAAAGAATATAATTTCCGATATCGACTTATCCTTACAGGAACTCCGTTACAGGTAATATAATTAATAGCCTGTCGTTTTTGTATAATTCATAATTTGCTAACATTGTTGGTTTATAGAATAATTTACCTGAACTTTGGTCTCTATTGAACTTTGTCTTGCCTAAGATATTCAATTCCGTTAGTAGTTTTGAAGAATGGTTTAATACACCATTTGCGAATGCTGGTGGACAAGATAAAATTGCTTTGAATGAGGAAGAGTCTTTACTTGTTATTCGGCGACTACACAAGGTAGAGAAATTATAAGTTTGTAAGCCTATAAGTTGATAATATTAAAGGCATTGTTAGACTAATAAAAACTTATCTTTTATAGGTGTTAAGACCTTTTCTCCTCCGTCGGTTAAAAAAGGATGTTGAATCCGAATTGCCAGATAAAGTTGAACGTGTTATCAAGGTTAAATTATCAGCTTTGCAGATCAAGCTCTACCATCAAATGCAAAAGCATGGTGCGCTTTTTGTAAATAAAGGAGAAAAAGGGTTATTATAATTTATTTATTTATTTATTTATTTATTTTTAATTTTATTATTTTATTCACTATGCTTATACACATGTGATTCACTTTTTACTCGCAGAAAAACTGGTATTAAAGGACTTAATAATACCATTATCCAGCTTCGTAAGATCTGCTGCCACCCTTTTGTGTTCAAAGAAGTCGAAACTGATGTCAACACAAGTAATGACGAAACAATGCTAATCCGCGTTTCGGGTAAATTCGAGTTCCTTGATCGGATTTTACCGAAACTTCTTCAGAGCAAGCATCGTGTGTTGATCTTTTTCCAGATGACCGCTATAATGGACATCATGGAAGATTACCTTCACTGGCGCCAGTACAGATTTCTTCGACTGGATGGTAACATTAAGGTATTTATTTATCTCAAATATAGATTACATGATAAAGCTTTGCTACTTATGATAAATACTTTTAATATTCCTTAAATATAGGCTGAAGAGCGAACAAGGCTTTTAAAAGATTTTAATACACCAGATTCTCCGTATTTTATTTTCCTTCTTAGTACACGTGCTGGAGGACTTGGATTGAATCTGCAATCTGCTGACACCGTAATAATTTTTGATTCGGATTGGTAAGTATACAATAACGCATTTAAAAAATTGCATTCATGTTTATAATTAAAAAATGTTTCAAATAGGAATCCGCATCAGGATCTTCAAGCTCAAGATCGAGCCCATCGTATTGGACAAACAAATGAAGTTCGAATTTTACGATTGATAAGTCAAAATTCTATTGAGGAGACTGTTCTTGCTAGAGCTCAGTATAAGCTTGACATTGATGGTAAAGTCATCCAAGCTGGCAAATTTGATCAAAAGAGTACTCCTCAAGAACGTGAAGCTTATCTGGTACATATTTAGGTTATTGTGACCAAATTGGTGTTAGCTTTTGCAATATGTTGACATGAAATTTTTACTTCCTAATTTCGTTTAGCGTTCTCTCGTGGAAGGATCCAACGTAGAAGGAAATGATGTGGATGAACACGAGGAATTAGATGACGATGAAATTAATGTAATTCTTGCGAGAAATGATGATGAACTCACGTTGTTCAAAAAAATAGACATACAAAGAATTCGCGATGAAGAAATTGAATGGCGTAGAAAAGGTAATACCGGATCTGTACCTAATAGGCTTATACAGGAGAACGAATTACCTGATGTGTATTTGAGAGAGTATGAGACACTTCCTGATACTGGAGTTGAGTATGGTCGTGGGCAAAGACAACGCAAGGAAGTAATTTATGATGATGGATTAACTGAGGATCAGTTTTTAAATGTGGGTCTCTTAATGTCTTACTTGTGCATTAATTTTGTCGCAATATTGATATATATATATTTAATATAAATAATTATTATTTTTATTTAGGCTGTCGAAAATAATGAGGATCTTGAAGGTCTAATCGCCAAAAAACAATTACGCCGGCAAGCAAAAAAGAAGCGTAGAGAAACCATTAATACTGAAGAATCATCACCTCATCCTAATGAGCTTGATGAGATGTTAGATAGTATACCAACAGCATCTGCTTCAGGTGTCATAAAGAGGATAACACTTAAACGTACAGTAGGTGAAATTGAAGCCGACGAGACAGAAGAAACGCAAGATGCAGATGCATCTGTTGATACGAATGCTACGCCTAGAGTTTCTCGACGTAAATCTAGAAAGTTAACATATTCTATTAAAGAACAATCTTATCCAGGCCAAAAAAGAATCCGTAAACCTGATATGATCGTAGATTCAGAAGAAGCTGCTGCTACCGTTGTTGAAGCGCTTGCAGAATTAGCAGTGATTCCTAATCAGAAAAAAAAAGGCAGAAGGCGTAAATTTGATAGTATCGAAGGTGACAATGAATCGTCATCTTCGGTTAAGAGAAAGAATAAAGGTAGTAAGATAGATAACGTTGAAGTTGTCATAGAACAATCCACCTTAACTAAAAAGAAAGGTAAAGGGCGTAAGATAGATGAAATAATCGATGATGATGCTCAAGATGCATCAAAGCTAGTAAGGGTTCTCACATTTTATATTTTTATAATGTGATATAATTATTCCTAGTATATTTAATAGATATTTTTTATTATAGAAACACAAAAAATCTAGTAAAGAAGAAACACCACTAAAGGCTATTCTCTCAGAATGCCTTGACTATATTGAAAATTTGACCGATGAAGCAAATGGGTACGTATACAAAACTTTAATATTTTATAGGTATTCTACCTTATTTAATATTTTAATTAAAATATTTCAGAGTCACACGAAGAAGAGCCACTCTTTTCCTCGAACTTCCGAGTAGGAAGAAATATCCTTATTATTATGAACAAATTGAGCATCCCATTGCAACCAATATAATCCGCCAAAAACTAAGCCACGATGAATATAAATCGGCAGAACAATTTAAGAATGATGTATACTTAATGTTTGCTAATGCTAGGACTTTTAATATCGAAGGGTCCCAAGTTTATGCTGATGCGGAGTTTATGCAGGTAAATAGAATTTGTATTCTAACCCGCATTTTTTAATAGAGAGCGCGAATCTTAAAATATTTATTTTTATTTATAGGCAGAGTTTGATATCAAATTTAAAGCACTATGTGGTAACTAAGGTTGCAACTCAACCTTTTTTTGACTTATGGAATTACTACGTATTTGAGTTTTGGATTTCTACTTAATTTTGGACCGTAACCAAAACTCATGTCCTATTTTTAGTAGTACTCGAAACGAATTAAATTTATTAAATTTGTAATAATAGATACAACATACATGCATTCAATAACGTTATGTTACAGTATTAAAAAATTCTTCACGAGTAAATATTAATCCAGTCCAGGGTTGAATAGATACATATCAAAAATTGAATAAGATTTAGCTAGCATTAAAACATGTAAAATCTTATTTATACACTTAATAATTTCTCAAATTGAAACTAGACTTTGGATAAGGTTATCACATTTTATAAAGAATTTACTAAAGAATTTACATGATTCCATAGCATTAAAGTTCATGATGTTAAATAATTTCAAAGCAGCAAAGTCATGTTGCAGTATGTGGGAGTTCCTGAATTACTGCCTAGTCATATTATAGAATAAATTAGGGAATTATTGGCGCCATGACTTTGGTATCCATTATTTCAACTTTTAATTTAGCATTATGTAAATAATCTTTGACAGATTTTAAAGACTTTATAGACAAATTGGCTTTAGCCTGCTAAATAAGTTTTTAATGTTTAAAAGAAACATAAAATAATATTTGCGGGCTTGTTATAGACGAAGATTTACTAAAATTATTATTTGCTGAAAGATTGATGATATTTAAATTCAGGCTTTAGTGCTTATTTGATGTTAAAACGAGTCTATTGAAATTGAAATGTGATCTATTATATTGTATAACGTTTTTATATGAAAAAAAAAATCCTAATTATTCAAGAAAAAAAAAAATTAATGTACAAAAATAATTTACTAAAAAAAAAAAAAAAAAAAGGGGAGTGGGAAATACCGAATTGGTTTAAAACCCTTTACTCGGTTGGATAATTTACAAATAAAATATTCAAAGACAATTGTTCTAATTACAAATTATTATACTAATTATTTAATAACTAACTAATAACATTAAAAATTAGTATTTCATTGAACGCTATTAACAGTGTTTAAACATAAATAACGCGTTATATACATTGCTAATGTTGAAATTGTATGTAATCCTCTTTCATCCGGTGTATTTTGAATAGTTTTAATATCAAAATATAAACCGTCTAGAGGTTTCAATTTTTTTAAATTACAAATGTGTTCATTATGATCATATTCCTGCCGTAAATGACTCCCTTAAATCTCTGGGTAGTCCTGATATTATAATGTCCGCCTGAGCTTTTAGTTTTTCCCGTTGTTTAGGTGTTGGTACTGACAATGATACATGGTCACATTCTCGATTAACCATTGATTGCGAATCAGACAATGAATCTTGTGTTGTTGATAATTTCTGTGCGTTTAAAATTGAACAAATGAATAGATGAATAAGAAATTTTTACAATATTAAATATTTAATAATAGATCAAATATAGTTTGTTACCAATTCATCCTTGACTCTAACTAACAAATCCACCAATTCCATTTCATGCTTGCCGACCATCCATGTTTTTACATCACCTTCACAAAGTACTTGTAAATATCTTTTACGTAACTCATTCTGCGCTTCTATTGTACGTTGTCTAAGCCATGTTGCAAAATTACCACATTTTAAAAATTGTGTATAAAAATTTAAATACGTTTCTGTTGTATTAGTTTGAAATTTTTTCGTTTTAAAAGGGATTTGTGGTCCTTGATTACGTTAAAAATAAACGTCAATAATATAGAAAAAAAAAAAAAAAATCAAAATACAGAGATATTTTTATTTACCATGCTCTTGTAAAGATTTTAAAAAACTGTCCGTTTTAAATGGTTTGAGTTGTGGAGGCTCTTGTGAAGATGAAAGCGTGCTAACCAGATAATGAAAAATGTGAGTATATAAAATGGTTTATTAGATCCGTAAATGCCCTTGAAAAGAAAAAGAACAATCCACTACTCAACCCATCAATAAACATACATATGGAATGGAATCAATGTAGAGAAATAGCGATTTAGGGGTACTAAAAACTTTTCTGTAAGATCTACGAAATATCGTCTTAAAATATTATTTAATAGGTAATCTATAATAATAATATAATTTAGCTACAAAATGTTCTTACGTTATTGTGTATGATATTGAAGATTTAGGTAATTTAAAAACGTACCTGGAGGGTAGCCACGTGCTACTGCTTCTGCTAACCGTTTTAATATTGCCTTATCTTTGGCTATGACGGACTTACGTTTACTTTTTACACCTTGAACAAACTCTAGTGATGATGCATGTGATCCTCGCCATGAATTATCTGTAGTTCTCCTTTTGTGATAATGATTGTATGTTAATAAATCAATAAAGTCAAATCGAAAGGATATTTCAAAAAAAAATATTCAGTGATACTACCTTACTTTTGGCTTCCCTACTCGAACTAAGTTTGGCCAATGTGCAAGGGCTTTAATGAAGAAAGGATTCGTTACGCCAATTATTATATTAGATGGTGGCTATAGATACGTAAAACAAATTATTATTAAATATAGATAATGAATCTATAGAAAAAAAATCTTAGCACATACTTTGTTTTTTGTTACAAATGACTTAAAATCCAAGTCTTGAATTGTGAAATATGGACGATAATCACCACAATATGGTATCTAGAATATGAATACAATTTAAGTCATTACATAAAAAAAAAAGGGTAGTTCAAATGATTAAAATAATCCTTACAGGATTTATGATATCCATCAATTCAAGTACAGATTCACTACAGATCTTTGGATTTGGAGCCATTAAAACAATAGGTTCTGCAAATAACATCAGTTCCCAACATAACCACAAATCTTTAATCATATCTCTAAAATGGGTAAACATTGATGTAGGTGGTAGTGAAGCAAGTATTTGAAGATCAGGACGATAATTCGTCATATCAAAAGGGCAAGTTTCAAGGAGTTGTGGTTTGTTCGGTTGTGGAATTTCAACTTGTATAACATTTCCAAGAAAGGGAAGATCAATTAATTTACTCGGACATGGAGATTTCCTTTTATATTTGAATATAAATATGTTAAAAATTTATTATTTAATAATCTACACTTCCTAGAAGTAGTAGTAACAAACCAGCTAGCAATATCGTGGCATGCTGCTTCGAGCATTGGATTGCCTACTTCAAAATATGCAGGGCCAAGGATAGATACTACTCTTGAGAAAAGACCGACATAAGGATGTTGAGATAAGAGCACTAAAGATCTCTGGTGAGTGAAGTAAAAGATTTAATATCTTGTGATAAACAAGGGTTAGCATAATTTTAATTTTGACAAACAATTACCTGAAAATATCCACGTTTTATTCGCGGATCTTTTTTCTGTCGGAAGAACACATAACCATACAAGAACCCAGCATCGGCCGTTGGACCTGAATAGCAAATACGATAATCGAATAAGATATTTGAATTCTTAAAATACGATGATTATAATCTCTAGTAACATATGATAGTAGATGTGGTAACTTATATTTAGATTGGCTATGCTGAGATTTTGATATAAAATTTTAAAAATTTTTAAGGTTTATTATTATTATTATTATTATTGCTATTTTCGAAATATCAACAAGAAATTTTTTGTGAATATCACGAATACTCGAATACTCGATTATTGGCACAATAATAACAATTACTGTATAATGTGATTATTGTGCTAGTATTCGAGTATTCATGACATTCACAAGAAAATTTTTTTGTCTGTTATTTCAACCGTTTCGAAAACAGCGATAAACTAAGGGTTAGTATTATTAATATAAAGTATTATAAATTTAAACAGGAACACAAAAATCTCAATATAAGCCATCTCAATATAAGCTATCTCAGTGTAAGCTGCTGCAATAAATCGCAAGCAACTATGAAAAACTAGTTAATCATATGAACTATCAATTTTGATTGTTTAAAATAAATAATCGCGCACACAAACAAGTTCTCTAAGCATATTTAATAACGATTAGGCTTCTTGCGCATTAAATTTTTTTTTTTTTTTTTTTTTTTTAAAAAAAAAAAAAAAGCCATATATAAACTTCCAATTCATTTAGAAGCTGAAAATTCGTTCAATCACTAACCTGAAGCAGCCAACCCTGATTTAGAACATCTTATACGAAAATTGAATACAGTTTCTCCAACATCAAATGAATTTGAATCAGGAAAAGCAGAAAAGCAAATACTCTTCTTTTCTTCTTCACCTAATTCTGAAGGAGGATACATAGAATCCATTGCCTGGCCTAACTCTAGGTCAAAATTGACTACACAAAAACACACCATCCAATTTCTAAAATTGTCCAAAGCTAGCAATTCAACGATATCCCAGCTACTGCGTCGACGAAGTTTTTTATCCCTCCTATTATTTTGATTTTCATTATTGTTATCCTGTATCACATTAGGTTTATTACGTACTTCGGATAGGGGAGTATTTGCACCATTTAATTTTTTTGCATTAGATTCGGGTAAAGGTTTTGATACTTCAGTGGTAAAAATTTCACATTCACTGAAAGGGTTTCTAACAAGACTTGAAATTTGGCTGTTAACACCTAAAATGTCAGAGGTACTCTTTGCATGTGAATATGATCTATTTTTTTTAAAAAATTCTCCTGTTTTTGAGACCTCTGATTTGAGGCCAGTAGTATTTGGAAGCATTGAAGTAGAACGAAAACCGTTACTCAACATGTGATTTGGAGAAGGTGAAGTATAAGAAGGAGAATAAGAAGAATAACGTGGTGAAGCAAATAAATCTTTAGTCGTTGAATTTACTAGTGACGAAGACATATATTGTAAATCAACGCCGTTACTTTTGGACGAAGGTTGGGAAGTTAGAGTCACTAGTTTACCCCCCAACATAGGACTTTCAGTTATCGGAGACATTTTTGGTGGAGTCAACGGTGTGGAAATGTTAGACGAAGCCCTTCGTACAGGAATAACAATTGGTGAGGAAGGTGAATGAACTTCAAAAGCAAGAGGTGTTTCTCTTGTCATATTTCCTTTTTATATGTAGAAACCTGTCTAGACTATCTATGGCTTATCTATAATAAAATTCGTAAATATTATAAAAATAAACAATCTATATACAATATATTAACTTTCGGTGCACGCGAAAATTTCCTGAATTAGCGGTGTGACTTCTCGTTATTATACGTTAATATTACGACAATATATTTAAAGAGAAACCAGAATTATCCAAAGTGCTATTTATATATTAGAATAGATATGCAAGTAAGTAAGTCCGTACTTTTTATAACTGTAGTAAACAGTGTACAAACTTACAAGGTCGGCACAAAGAACAAAAGATTTTGGCCAAATCGAGATTTGCAAATCTAGAGAATCATTTTATATGTTACCATAAAATTATTTTTAATAGTTTTTAATATATTTAATATATAAATTAATAACAAATTAAATTTTGTATTTTGTATGATAAAATTCATATGTCATGTGTACTTGGCATTTATTATGTTTCTTTGATCATCTTTCCGTTCGTACAAGAGAAATGTGATCACGATGATCGCCAATTCTTTTTTATCTCTAAGTTTTAAAAAGGAATTAATTATTATAGCGATAGTCTTTATTTATAGATGAACCTTAAGTTTTTTTTTTTTTTTAAAAAAAAAACAATCGGGTAAGTGAACAATATACAGGTTGAAGTTCGGACAATTAGCCCTCTAGTACCACGACACGACTGTGAAACAATATGAATCCTTGTACAAAACTAAGTTAATATAACTTGATTAAACCCGAATAAAAATACATGTTACAAGTTTAGATTTAAAAAAACGGGAAATACTTTTACTATGAGCTGGCTTGAAAAATGTAGTGTGGAGATTTTAATTTTCACCATCGCTTATCATTTGTAGAATAGTGATAGCTAATGTGCTGTTGTTAAAATTATGTCAGGTGTTCCAAAATCACTAAACATGGTCCCTTTTGAGATCATGATTATTTATGCACATTTTGCATAAATAAATCATTATGATCTTAAAAGGGGCCGACCCTTGAAACACCTAGCAGAGGTAAAACCTTAAGATTGCAACAGTAAAATTTACAGTACGTACATATAATATCGATCTATTTTGGCTAAATTGAGGGCTGATGTTTATCGTAACGTACGTACGTATGTACTGTACGTACCTGGTATATACGTCCGGTCACGACTCATTGAATCGAGTCGGATTTGTCTAAAAGTCATTTCAGGTCAACATTAAAGTCCGAACAAAGCATATAGTTGTTATAATTATTGTCAGATACGTATGATAAAATTTAGCATATAATTTAAAAATAAACTTTTGTTTCCAACGAGTATCGGTATTGACAAATATTACCCCAGATAGTATTTTTGTTACCCCTGCTCGATGTAATATTTGTTTTTTTGTATATTAACATTTTTTTTTTTTTTTTGGTATATACGTACTTCTTTAGGTTTAGTGTTCTTATAAATGTTTTTTAGTGACGTTTACATTGTTTTTGATAATATTTTTTTGGCGTTTGTTAGGTTTTGTACAGTAGGCTCAAAAAGTATACAAAAACATATGTGCCGTACAGATTGGAATCGTCCCGATTCAGAATCAGGCTGCCCTGAATAGGAATCTTGCGGATTATTTTGGCAGAATTATGACTTTAGGGTTAGAATTAGGTTTATAATAAAAAATTTTTAATTAAAATTCTCATCCGGGTCTGCCCCGATTCTGAATCGGGACAGATTCCAATTCGGGTACAACATATAAGGTGATTTAAAATTTATCAAAATCGCTAATAATAAAAATTTATTAAAAATATTATTAATTGCAATTTTTATTTTAGTATCATAATCTTTGTTTCAAGAAAGTTTTTCTAAGTTTTTCTTAGAGAAAAAGCGTAAATAACTTATTTATTGCGTAACTTTTACTAGTGTAAATAATTTCTAGGGATTGGACCCGTTTAAAAAAATCCAATTCAAGTTACCTGTCAGTTAATTGCTAACATATCCGGGTAAGTACCCAGGTAAAGTATAATCTACAAATCATACGAATTGGGTGAAGTGACGTCACGTGTCCAAGTACAGAATGAATTGTGCCTGTCCCAGGACCCCTAGAAAATTTCAAATTTCGATATCATTTATAACAACCAAATATTGTGATATCAAATTTAGTATCATTTTTGCTGATCAAACATGATCGATAATTTATTATACGTAGCAGATAGGTGAAATTCTAAAAAGTAATTCTATTTAATTTTACCATATACTGTATATATATATATTATATCGTGGCTATATCGTGGCTATATACGTATTAATTTAACTACGCACTCAGAAGACTCCTAATAAGTATACAAAAATAAGATAAGATCTTTATTATTAAGGTTTAAACTTAATACTTATGCTTAACTTTTGAATATCTTAACTATTATTTTATAAACTTTCCGAATTTTACTTAATATCACTCTTTTAAAATCTTAAGTTACAGAAAATACAAATGTACTTCTTTCTGCACGTGTAGTTACATACAAATACGCAAACGTAATTGGTCGACAAAAATAGTTAACCAATTAAATTTGCGGATTTCATTGTGTAACCTAACATGCATGAAAAAAAGGGTTTATAATGCGATATCCAGCGATTTATTGTTTTCTAATCTTTTCGAAATTTTCTAGGCCCAGGCCCGTCGGACGAAATATAGAAAATATTTTTATTTGATTGGTTACCTTTTTTTACCCGGATAGCAGAATCTTTACCCATTTACACAACCTACCCGCGGGTACCGGATACGGGTCCAATTCTTAATTCTTGGAGTAAAATGGCGGATCAACGTAGTGATTGGACTCATCTAAAAAAGGGCCACTCAGGTTATCTGACGGGTTGGCCCATCGGCCACCCGGGTGAGTTATAGCTATTACTATAATTTCTGGAACACTAGTAAAAGTTTGCTAAATAATTTTTAGTCTACAACTAATAATAATAATAATATTTTTTTTATATTTAAGGTGAGACCTTGCTCTTATCTTTATTAAACTTAATAAAAACTTTTTACATGATTGAAAAAGGTTTTAAATTTTAAGTCTAGTACTAAGAATAAGAACTCAGACATTTAGAGAACCTAATAATTACAACTAACATTATTTATACAGTATAAAAATAAAAATTATATGTATAGTAGTTTTGATTTTAAAATCTTATACAAACATATACAAAATTATAGTAATTTTCCAACTCTATATATAAAAAACATATTATATATAACACAGGTCAAAAAATGACAAACCAGGCACAAATTAAGTACCCAATTTTAAACTGATTATTGCCTGATTTATGTTAATTTTTTACTAAATTTTTAATACAAAAATTAATATAAATCAGGTAGTAATTAGTTAGTAATTAGTTTAAAATTGGGTACCTGATTTGTGTCTAGTTTGCTATCTTTTAACCTGTATAAAGGAAGAAAGTATAGTAAAAAAAATAGAAAAAATTTAAATAGTGCATTCTGTTTTTTAATAGCAAATAAGCTCCTAATATTAAAATAAAGTTAAGAGCTAGTATTAGGGTTAGGTTAAAGTTAGGGTTAGAGTTAGAATTAAAGTTAAAGTAAAATTGCAAGAGGTGCATTTTTACTTAGTTACATAACAGGGGTTCTTTTAGTAAAATTTTGAGATACAGAAGTGCACTTAGTGCACTGTGTATTATATAACAAAATTCAGACAATATTATATAATATTTGTTACTACTTTAACTAATTATTTTTTTTACAAGTATTTAAAATAGTTTTATCTCTTAAACTATAGATTATTTTAGACAAATTTGCTTAGAAAATTGCTATAAATTTGCTTATTATTTACTTTTTTTTAAAGTTTAAAATATTTAAATAAAAATTTTTTAATAAATTTAAAAATAAGAATTATATTAGGCCAGACAAAGTTAATTTTTTAGTTTTTATAATATAGAATATAAAAAATAACCTACTAATCTGGTCTTTATTTAAAGATTTTTAATATTTTTTAAAATTTAAAATTTAAAATTTAATTTAAAAAATCAAGCCCTGGCATTATAAAAACAAGTTACTTGCTTCAGATTACTATATCATTTAAAATTTAGAATAAATAACCTTATACAAAACACAGATCTAATACATTTTACTAATTTAAAATCTCAATAGATCTCTAATATATTAAAAATTTGAAAAGCATATACACTTGGCAAATTTGTACCCAGGCCTAATATCTGATATCTAATAGATTACAATCACTATTCAAATAGATCTTTATATGATTATCTACAGTGTGCTGGTTTCAATTTATTTAACTCGGCCTTTGATTTTTTACTATATATATAATGTAAAATATATATATATACAGTATACAAAATTAAATACATTTATTCAATCTTTTAATTTAGTTTCAAATCTGTTTTAAACAAATTTCTAATATTTTTATATTGAATCACCTCAAAAGGAATATACTCTTTCCAACGATCACTTGAACTATATTTTTCGAAAAACATTTTATTGCAAAAAGAGACCTTACAAGCCAGCACTTGATATACTAAACAGTAAGACAGCACCTGTCATTTAGAAGTAGTTCTCATATGCTACTTGCTGACAGGCTCAGAGTTTATTACTCACTGTAAAGTCTTGGCACTTGTCGTTTAGAGATAGTTCTCATACGCTACCTGCCAACAAGTCCAGAGTTTATCACTCACTAGAAAAATGTTAAGCAGGTGTTGGGCAGTGGGTTTTAACTATAGAAAAGAAAACTCACACTTCTTTAAATTGGTTTGAAGCTCAAGTGGTCCCTCGTTACCTCTTGTTGTTTTCCCGTAGGTCTCCAAAATTTTTCACAAAAAGTGGGGATTTGGCTTACCCTTTCAAAAGATCGGCATTGTTTACTTACCAAATCCGGATGGACTGGTAAATAGCAACCATGTGTTTGGAGACAAATATGGCACATGGGCCCTGAAACAAGTCCCAGTCAAAAAAGGAATCTCTGGTGGCAGCACCAAGTGGCTTGAGATA